CATAAACATTTACAGAGATTTTGGGTTTCCATTCATTCATTGTTGCACTATTCTCTCTACCCTCCTCCCAGTTTGTTCTTGTCCAAATGCCACACGTGTACTATCTAATTATAACGGACTCCTATCTGACCCTCCAGTGGTTTTCAGAGTCAGTAAATGCCCTGGGAGATTAGCCATCTTTGTCCTGCACAGTGACTAATATATTTGAACTGCTTTCCTTTTTGTTGGCAGTACAATTTCTTTTCTCTAAGCCACCAGAGAACGTACCTTTAGAGAATATGTTAGGACTACCCTATTCATTCATCAATTGAATGAGTGTTACATCCTAAACACGGAATTCTTGAGAGATGATGGGGTGGGGGGGTTGGCTCTTTCTTTAAATAACACTAGTCTTGTCTCTGGATGGTGCTTAAACACAGTCAACTTTTGTGTTTTCTTTCTTTTTTTGCTGGTTTGCACTGGCAACAAATTACATTTTCATTTGTTTCTCCCCTTGAATTTCTAGATTTCACTTAGATATCAGGAATGTCAGACACTTAGCACTGAATGATTTAGAGAGTAAAAATTAATGTAGAAGCATTTAGAAAAAAATCAAACCCACACAAACCCTGCATACTTTCTTGTATTTTCTCCATCCAAAAGAAGGAATTTCCCCATAGAGGCACACAACTTATAAACATACATGTAGAAGTTAAGTGTTTTCCACTCTGGAAAAGAAGTACTGCATTAGGGTGTGTATTTTTGCTTTTGGCTTCTTCCTCCATTAATCTCTCTCCTAGGGTTTCTTAGATCATCTGATGTTTAAGCTGTTTTTGGTACATTAATTCCTTTTTCTTTCTATAGGCATGGTCAAGTACCTCTCTTTGGAGCCATGTTTAAGGTCATGCATGACATTGTATTTTTTCCAGGAGCAGTGGAGGCACCAGCATTCTACTCAGACAGAGCACTACTGGAACTTCAAGCTGGAGACTTAGCTGAAAATGGTCTCAGAAGATGAGGGCATGGTTTACCTAGTGGGAGAGCTAGGAATTACTGGATAGTCTTGTGGTGTTAGAAATCTTAAAACTGGCTTTTCTACCCATGTGTTAGCCCCTTCTGCAGACATCATCTCCAGCTACCTCAATTGGTGACATAAAGTCTTGGAAATCATCAACAGCTGTGAAACCAATAAAAGAGCGTGCTTTCCACACTATGTAAAATAGGTGGAAAGGGGTGGAAGGTGGAGAGGATGGTGAAGAGACTGTGGCAGACTGCTGTGAAGAGTTACAACAAGATGTATCCAGGGGAACTCTCAGATGGAGCCACAGTTAAAGGTTTTGTTTCTGGAGAAGTGAAAAGGGGGGGGAAAAAGGTAACTTGTAAACTGGCCTAAGATAAAGTTTGCTGGATGATTGAAGAAACCAGATATGTATCTGTGATGCTGAACTGAACCTGGACTTTCACTTGTTAACTGAGAAGTTGTACTGAATTAAGTGAAGAAATGTGTCTTCCTGTTAGTCAAGTATGCAATTGCTGGGTTCAACAGGACTTGCATTTTCAGTATTCCTTGCCTTCTCCATTCCATAGCATATTTCCCTAATAAACTCCACAACTGTGAATAAAGTCTGTGAGTCAATAAGTAACAAACATTGGACCTCGTAATTCATAGAAATAGGTACAGGAGCAGGTCAGATAGCATGTCTGACTATGTAGCTGTGTGTTTGCTACTATAGTTATTATTGGCAGAGACAGTTCCCTTTAATGATGTGGTTAGAAGTCATACTCAGTCAACCTCCATGTTGTGTCCACTCCTTTTTCAATAGTTTTATAGACACGGTTCAGGCTAAAGTTTTCAGGGTGGGAAATCATTAGTAGTAACACAGTTTGAAACTACAGTGAGTGGAAGCTAGTAGAGGTATAGCAAGAACTTCCCATGCATTTAATTTTGGCGTTCCAGTGGGTGCACTGCAAATAATAACTTTTAATTTTTAATCCATATAAAGTAGACATGTCATCCCATATTAAGCATGTGAAAGTGTCAGATCAAGGTCCTGGCTCCCTGTTGCTTGCTTCCAAAGTGCTGAGTCAGGATGCAACTCAGTGTAGCTCGCTATTGTTAGTCTAGGCTCTTTTCCAACAGACAACACTACCTCTCCCAAACATGAGTGGGATTCAGTCATCAGTCTAACCATACCTCATAGGTGGTTTTCAAATCCATACCTCATAGGTGGTTTTCAAATCCTTCTATGTCTCTCCTTTTCCTCCTTTTCAGCATATTTCCTGGCGTCTTATGAGTAATAGTCAGATGGGCTCCCTGTCCTTCTAAGATGAGTGCCCTGTCCAGGGCCTTTATGATTAATGTTTGGTTAGGAGAATCCTTTAAAAGACGCAACATGCACTCTCTGTCATCCCTGTTCACATAGACTGACAAGCTGATCTCTTTCTGTGCGAGGCACTGACAGTTCCAAACCTGACCCAGCTAATTCGGCTGAGAATGGGGAAGAGCTCCCAGGACTCCCCCTTCATCCAAGCAAGATCCCAGACAAACCTGAAGATGTGACTCAGCTTCCATTGATTCTGAGATCCTTTTCTTTTTTTAAAAAAATTATTATTAAATTTTATTAGTTTTAATCAACATTTATGATTCTAAGATCCTTTCACCTTCCCTTGTTTAGGCAGTTGTGGTGGTTGATATGATAACCTTTTGGTTTCTATTCTTTTTTTATTTATTGTTATGCATTTTCTTTCCTGCCTCCCTTCCCCCTCTTTCAGCCCACCCTGGAATGCATCCATTGTTCCAGATTGTTGTCATACATAAAATGCCTAATCATATCTTTTTATTTTTTTAATCATATCTTTTAAAAGATAGTTCTTATCTGTTCTAATACTGTGTTCATTATCTACCCACTGTTTTCCCATTCCTTCCCCAATCTCCCATTTGTTTGTCCTATTTTATAAAAGTGTATAAATATTATGCAGTATTTGTCCTATAGTAATTGAGATATTGCCCTCAGTATAATGTTCTCCAGGCTCTGCTATGTTGTGTAATGTATGAATTCATTGTTTTTCAATGCGTAATATTCCACTGTATGAATGTGCCATAGATTTTCTATCCGTTCATTTGTTGATGGGCTCTTGGGTTGCCGACCTCTTTACTATTTTAAATAATGCATCATTAACCATGGATGTTCATACATGGATGGCTCTGGTCTTTAGGGTATATTCCCAGTAGTAGAACTGCTGGGTCAAATGGTATTTCTAGTTACAATTTTTTAGTAAGTACCTTTGAGTACTTTTGAGTAAGATTGACTTCCATAATGGTTGTGACATTTTACATTCCCATCCGCAGTGAATAAGAATTCCAATCTTTCTACCACTTTGTCAGCATTTGTTGTTTGCTGGCCTCTTAAACGGTACTATTGTTGCTGGGATGAGATGGTATCTCTTAAGTTCTTTGGATTTTCATTTCTGATAAGTAGGGATTTTGAACATTTCTTCATGTGTGTTTTTCATCTGAATGTTGTCTTTGGTGAAGTGTCTATATCATGTGCCCGCTTTGTGACTGAATTGTGTACAATTTTTTTGTTTGTTTAAATGCTAGAGTATCCTATGAATTTTAGATATAAATCCCTTATCAGATCTGTCATTGCCATATTTTTTTTTCAGCTTGTCAGTTTAATCTGTTGGAGACATTTTTTTATGTACACAGGAATTTGATTTTTAGATAGTCCCATTCATTGATATATTTTTTTCTCTCCTGGTTGTAGATTTTTCATTATGTATGAAAGACTATACTGTGAATTAGGGCTTCTAGAGTTGTTCCTAGCTTTTCTCTGATGAATTTTATAGTCTTTGGTTTTGCTTTTAGGTTCCTAACCTACTTTGGTTTTCTAGTATGGTGTGAAGTTTGGATCTTGCTTAAGTTTTCTGCAGATGGTTTTCCAATTTCACCAACACCATTTGTTGAAGAGACTATCATTTCCCCACTTCACTGATTTCCTCTTTTAGTCAAAGATCAATTTATTTGAAATGGAGCTGATCAAATCAGTTGAGCTGATTTCTGGATTCTCAATTCTATTACATTATGGATCTATGTGTCTGTTGCTGTGTTATGCTGTCTTGACCACAGCAGCTGTGTAGTAGGTTTTGAGATGAGGGAGTTTGAGGCCTCCTATTTTGTTTCTCTTTTTCAGTAGTGTTTTACTTGTTTGGGGCCTCATTCCAATCCAGGTAAAATTGGAAATTGCCTTTTCCATTTGCATTGAAACATGGAATTGATATTTGTATTGGAATTGCATTGAACTTGTAGATTGCCTTTGGTAGAATTTTCCTTTTCACAATGTTGAGTCTTCCTAACCATGAGCATGATATAGTCTTCCGTTTCTCCAGATGTGCTGGGGGCCTGGCTAACTTGCAAAGCAAGATTAGCAATGCATTGTAAAACCAGTAGGACTGATTCCATCTTCGCTAGAACATCTGCTAGGCAGTAAACAACTCAAGGAAGCAGGATGCTAATGAATAGGGAGTGACCAAAGGTCTCTGAATTGAGGAATGTGGTATCTTTGTTTTGTGTTGAGGTCTAGGAATGTTTGACCTGGCAGTCAACATCTCAGACAGATAAGAGATAATGTGATTACCCCTGCGGCCATGTTTCTAGAAACCTATATATACTTGGTGTAGAGAATAAAGGTCACCAGCGGTTAGCCTCTCTGCCACTTCATTTCGCTTCATTTCATCCTCTGTCCCTCCTCTCAGCAGAACTGTTTCAATATAACGGGCAGGGTCCCATTACAGATGTCCTTCTTTGTTGTAGTTATGTTTTCTAATTTTTTCTGTATAGTTCTTTTGTGTCTTTTGTTAGATTTGGTCCCAAATATTTTGTCTTGTGATTAGCTATTGTAATTGGTATTGTTTTTCTTAGCTCATTTCTATATTCTCTTTGACACTATAGAGAAATCCATCTGATTTTTGTTTGTTGAGCTTGTACTTTGCTACTTTTACTGAATTGGTTGACTATGTCCAATAGTTTTCTTGATGAATCTTTAGGTTTTCTATGTATACTATCATATCTTCTACATACAGAGATAGTTTTACCTCCTCTTTGCCAATTTGTATACCTCTGATTTTTTTGGCTTCCCTTACGACTGTCACTGATAGTTCCAACACAATATTGAGTAGGAGAGGTGATAGTGGGCATCCTTGCCTAGTATCTGTTATCAAGCGAATGCCTTTAGTCTCTCTCCATTGAGAATGATACTGACTCTTGGCATTGTATATATACTGTTGAATGTTTTTAAAAGGAGGTGCTGTTAGATTTTTTTCAAAAGCCTGCTCTGCATCAATCAATAGGACCACATGGTTCTTGTTCTTTTGTTTATTATTGTGATAAATTACATTTATTATTTTTCTTTCTTCCCCCTGCGCATTTTGAATCAGTTTTTCTTCCAGGCAAATATTTTATTCAATGTTTCAAAACTTTGCAAACATGAGACACAAATAACTTTACCAAAATATTGAATAGCTCTCATCATTCTTCGTTGAAAAAGGAAATAAAACTATAAACAGCAGTGATAATCAACAAAGAAACATTGGTGAACCTAAACTTAAGAGAGATGCAAATAGGGGAGCTCTGGTGGCCTAGTGGCAAGAAGCTGCACTGCAATCCCAGAGACGCATGGTTCGAATCCACCAGATGCTTTGCCAGGAAAGGAGGGACAGTCTCCTCCTGTACCAGTCAGATCTGATCTGATGGTACACAGACACACATACACAAAATAATAATAAAAAAATTTTAAAATAAAAAAGAGAGGTGCAAATAAAAACCACAATGAGATACCACCTCACCCCAGTAGCAGTGATAAAGTTGAGTAGGGCAGCAAGTAATAAATTTTGGAAAGGATGTGGAGAGGTAGAAACTCATACACTGTGGGTGGGATTGTAAAATGGTTCAACCACTCTGCAAGACAGTTTGGCTTTTCCTCAAAAAGTTGAACATAATGCACACACATGTTTATTGTG